ATAAGTGAAATAGCCTTTTAATGAAGAACAGTAAGTATGCAAAGCGTTTATACTTATAAAACTAGAGGCACCATGTCTACAGTACTCAATGTTATACACACTCCTGTCTTCATCCTGACTTCATTCTCTACTTGTCTCTCTTCTGTTCATTCCTCTCCAGCTAATCCTCAGGACCAGACAGGTTCTATTAAATAGTTTATTTATCTGTTGCTCCTGCAGTTAGAGCTTAGACCCAAAGATAGTGAGATAACTTACTCTCTCACTTCCTTTCCAATCAGAAGACATCTTTGTTTATCTTATTATTGTTTTACCAACTAAATTAGAAACTTGCTTAATATAGTAATTTTTGTGTTTTGGTTTTGTTCAATTATGTGTCTTCAGAACCTATGATAGGGCTCTGTAAATACCAGGTACTTAAAAATACAAACAAATAAAAAACAATGATTGAATGAGTGATTCCTTAACTGTACATGATCTGAGTCATATGCCTGGTTTAAAACCTCAGTTTTATCTTCTTACTAGCTACATTTTCTTGGTCAATCTCTTTAGATGTTCTATGTACCAGTTTATTTCTTTAAAAATGCAAGGTAGTATTTTAAGTTACAGTGTTACTAGCTGGGAAATAGCCACAAAAAGTAATTATGAAATAAAGCTTACCTAATTATTTCCTTTAGTTTCTAACAGCATTTCCCTCACATTCATTCTAATTCTTTATAACACTGCACAAGGTACAGTTGACCCTTCACATTATCAAGTTCTGCACCTACAGATAGAAAATAGTTTGAAAAACAAAAATCTATACTGAACATGTGCGGACCTTGTTAAAAACAAAAAGATTATTCCCTAAACAATATACCCCAGTAACTAATAAAGTTTTTTACATTGTAGTAACTATTACAACTAAGTAATCTAAAGATGGTCCAAAGTATATGGGTTGATATACATAAGCAGACATTACACTATTTTACAAAAGGGACTTGAACATTCAGACTTTTGCTACCACAGAAAGGAAGTATGTATATGGAAAGAACTCTGGCAGGTGCTATTTTGGGGGAAGAACACCTTTTATAAATGTGAGAACAGTATACCCTAAGTTTCTCCTTAAGTTCTACTTTGGTCTATGTTTTGTTTTTGCTATACTCCTTAGCTCATATTTGCCAAACTTATGCTCATCTCTGGTTTTTTTTTTTTTTTGGATACTTTTGTATCAACTTCTTTTAGTTTTGTCTCATACACTGTTATAACTAAAGTGAAAGGCCAAGAGCAGTGGCTCATACCTGTAATCCCAGCACTCAGGAAGCTGAGAAAAAAATTATTCCAAGGGTGAAAACAATATAGGATCCGTGGACAATTATGCTTCAAACACCACTAACAAGAAAATAAAAGGTGAGAATTGAGAATTCCTTAATTCCAGTCTATGAAACTCCAGTAGGACTTATTCCCCAATGGTTGCCCTGTTTTCTTACAGGCTGGATTCTAAAACAAAGCTGTAGGACTAGAGTCGTGTAAGCCTTTTGAAACCAAAGTGCCAAATACTGATATAGAGTTGTCAGATCCACTTTTTTTCCCTGTTGGGTTTCAGTCTTGCTTTGTTCCATTCTTTTCTCATTACATCCTTAACCTTCTCTAATGCAATGGGAATGTATACTCTGTGTAACTGTATATAAGATGTATATAATTTGTGGGTTTTGCTTTTGTTTTAATTTTACAAGGGGTTACAGCTGAAGAGATTGACTTTAGTCTCAGACTTCTGAACAATCTTGAGACTGTTAAAGACTACGGGGAGAGATAGAATATGGTAATTTCAATGAGAAATATCCACTATAACCTCTTATCTGTATGCTTGGGTCCCAAGTTGGTGGATCTGTTTGGGAAAGTTTGGAACATTTAGGAGGTGAGGCTTTGATAGAACAAGAATGCCACTGGCAGTATGTTTTATAGCTTGAGCCCACATCCTCTGGACAGATGAAAAATAATCTCTCTGCTTCCTGACTCGCAGGCTATCTGCACTACAATAAACTCTATCCCCCTAAATTTAAGCTAACATAAATCCTTTTCTCCTCAAATTTGCTTCAACAGGACTTTTTGTGGGTAAAGACTGGAAAGATACTAATGCAATGCCTCAGGGTACCAGAAGTCTTTTGACTACATACCAGTAAGGATATAAAATTAATAAAGTCATAAAAATTCTCAACTTATCCAAGGTTTTTTACATCCACATAAATTATGAACTCAAAATATTGTAAAAATGTATTTAATACTTCTAGCCTACTAAAAGCAAAGTTTAGCAAAACAATCCAATAGACTACTTCCTGTTCACCTTACTGACTGCCTAAAAGGGAGCTGTGGTCTGCTGTCTTAGCCCAGCGCCACTGGAGACTACTATTAACACTATATTCGCTTGCCTAGAAAGGATCACATCACAAGATTCTGAGATTGGTTTTAACTGATTATACACTACTTTTAAGTCATCACACAAATTTAAAAGTAGAAACCATCAAAAGTAAAGAATAGCTACTTTACTCATTTTCTTCTTCTACTAGATTCTGATTTATCTTTTTCCTAGTTCATGGAATTTGACAGAAAATCCACAATAGTGCTATAACATAGTATAATGAAAACATTTTCTTTTTTCCGCCCATCTAAACTTTTCACATTCCTCCAATCACAGATATGCATAATTCTACTGCCAAAAGAAAGTAAGAGTTGGCTTAGAAGAGAGTTAAAAACAATCTATAGGATTAAGGCTCACATAAAATGTATAGGAGCATTCAAGAAAGTTGAATTTTACTCAGAATCAAAGTAAAACCATTATGTGGGATAAATTCTCTCATAATAAATCTTAATCTATTCAGAAGTGGAGCTGGGATATAATATAAAAGCTAAAAACTTTATGCTTAAGTCAGCATGCCCTGGGTTCAAGCCCCAGTACCACAAGCAAGCAAGCAGATAACAAGTCAGAAGAGGAACAAAGGAGTGCAGTGAGGTGTACTGGTGAAAGGCAGCAGCCATTTACACTAGTCTGGATGGCGAGTGAAGTAGCAGCCATTCACATTACTTAGGAAATGTAGTGCTTGTTATTTTCTGCTTTCTGCAAGCAACCGTAAGTGCTTGAAAATTGTGGAATAATGCACTCTGTTTGACGTTATTAAAGACATAGGACAGCCTTGTCTGATATTTAGCCTGTGAAATTATATTCAAAAGGAAAGCATTAAAGCCTTGCTACAAACACTAAACCATTCAGTGCCCAGACTCAGGATCGGCTTTCCTTAATCAAATTGTTATAGTTTTTGTGGCTTTAAAAATTCTACCAACATATCTAACTATATATTATAAAAAACACCCAAGTCAAATGTTTTAATAGCTATAAAGAGATGTCACTCTATGAACCTTAATATAATTAAAAAAGTTTTATTACTATATATTTTAAAAAGTTAAGGTGCTACAAGAGTTTAGCAGTAGCACACTTGCCTAACAGGCACACAGTACTGGATACAATTTCATTAGTGTCAAAACAGAACAAAAAGGGTTTAACAAAACAGGTCAATGCAAGATTGCAAAGGAAGATGATAACAGATGTACAAAGTAGTTTCAAAATTATGAAACAGGTAATTATCCAAGTACTTGGGAAGAGAATGAACCCCAAAAGCTCCATATTCCAAGTTTTCATTTATGAAAGATAACTTTTCTACATAAATATATATAAATAAGTCAGCATTGAAAACATTTTATTTATGTTTTAAAAAACACTTTCTCTACAAATACTAGATCAAAATAGCATACTATTAATGCTCACTTTCTGAATTTTACAATTATATTATGATTACAACAGACAGCATCTTTGTTTTCAAAGAAACATATACAGGATAATCATAGGTAATATGTGTCTATACCTTAACCCAGGAAGGAAAAACTACAAAATATATCTGAAACAAAATTAAATACTTTAGAAAGGAAGAACAGCATATATAGGTAAAAAGAAAATACCTCAGAATGTGAAGATTTTTAAAAAGAAAATTTTAAAAAGAAATATTTTTAAAAAGAAAATGCCTGAGAATGAGAAGATTTTTAGTGTTTGGAAAACTATTTGAATTACAAAAAGGAGTTCTTTTTAGTAGTCTTTCTACTTTTCCCTGAATCTGAAATTATTTGAATATATAGGGTTTAAAAAAAATATTCAGAACTTAAAAACTAAGGATAGCAAATATCAACCCCCCCAGTCAAAGATGGAGAGAATAAAAGTTAAAAGAATCATAAAATTAATTGGATATGGGGCTACTCTTAATTTTATTCAAACCTCTAATTTATATAACTATAAGAAATGCTTAATGTTTTAATATAATGCTACACAATGAATCAATAATTCTACCTTTCCTATCCCTGAGACAAACAATGCCTGACAATATTTTCTTCTTCTTAAGGTCTGACATTAATTCCACAATATTAAAAACACCTCTTAAAAATTCCTACCACTTACAAGCAAGTAAGGAAGTGATTTTTTTTTTTTTAAAGACAGGGCTTCTCTGTGGCTTTGGAGCCTGACCTGGAACTAGCTCTTGTAGACCAGGCTGGTCTCAAACTCACAGAGAGCCGCCTACCTCTGCCTCCAAAGTGCTGGGATTAAAGGCGTGCGCCACCACCGCCCGGCAGTGATTCTGTTATATATCAAAAAAGAAAAGAAAAAGAAAATCCTAGCCTGGCGGTGGTGGTGCATGCCTTTAATCCTAGCACTCGGGAGGCAGAAGCAGGCTGATCTCTGTAAGTTCGAGGCCAGCCTGTTCAACAAGAGCTAGTTTCCAGAACAGGCTCCAAAACTACAGAGAAACCCTGTCTCAAAAACAGAAAAAAAAAAAAAATTAAGTCTTACTAAAAGGGGTATGTCATTATCCAAGAATATTTTAGTAAACTAACCTATTATTTTACAAAATAATACAATGTATTACTTTACAATTTTACCATTCATAGCACGACCAAAACATACTGTCAAGTGTATAACTTACCTGAGAAGTCCCACTGAAACCTGAAGGTTGGCTGTATTCTGTAGAATCAATAATACTACTGCAAAAGGAAGAAAGAACAATATAACTTCAGTATTTTCATTATTTAGTAACAGAAAAAGTTGATCTAAAATGTATCGTTTATAAACCAATTTATTAATAATTTTAAATATACATCTATTACCAATCATTTAATTAGACATCAAATGGCCCATCAACATTTACTCCTCCCAGTGCTTCAAACATACATATCAAGAAAGGTTATAAAAATGGGAAAAAAAATATGGCCACTGTACACATACTATTTACTTCCATTTCCAAATAGGTTAGTAAGGTTTGTAACTTTAAGGAAAAGAGGATTTAACACACTGGGAAAACATTAGCATGCACTTGATGACAACAGTTAACAAGCCCTGTTATGGCACTAGTGGCCATGTGCTCTTGAGCCATTGCAATCACTCAGTTTCCTCATTGCCAAATGAGGCGAATAAGGACTATCTCTACGTAAGTTTCCAGCCCCAAATGGCATGACAAAACCTGGCAAAAGAAAACTATCAAAGGCATAAAATAAATGTAAAGTGACAGAAGTCTTTCTCAAAATCCCAAACCCATATGATACTAGTTTCCTCTGTCCCAGATGCAGTCTGGTTTCTATGTTGTTTTTCATGTGGTTACACCTTCTCCTATTTAACTCTAAGACAACCTTTAGAAACTCAGGCTAGTTTCTTATTTTCTTATTATCTATTTCATTGCTATTGTTTCTCTGCCATCTTAAAAAAAAGTAGGCTCATAAAAACTCCCCACAATTGAAAGGTACTCAAGCACTACAGCTCATAAATGCCTTGAGTCCCAGAACAGGGAAAGCTGAAGTTGAGGCACGAGTATTGGCTTACACAAAAATCATAAATTACTTTATCATTGAAATAACCTAAAGGTTCTGAGAGGTACTTTTGGAGTTTGGATTTTTTTTTTTTTTAAGATTTATTTATTTATTTTGTATACAGTGTTCTGTCTGCATGTATGCCTGCAGGCCAGAAGAGGGTACCAAATTTCATTACAGAGGGTTGTGAGCCACCATGTGGTTGCTGGGAATTGAACTCAGGACCTCTGGAAGAACAATCAGTGCTCTCAACCTCCGAGCCATTTCTCCAGCCCGGAGTTTGAAACTGAAGTGTGAAACTGAAATGTAGCATTATATACAACATTAAAACACAGCAAACAGTTGCTAAAATGAAATATAAAAATTAGCATAAACCCTCACATTTTTAGAAATATGATAATTCGTATAGAATATCCATAAGATTTTTAAAAACTATACACTCCTACTGTCTACATAGGTCTCAGTTCATTATATTCCAGGCTATTTCTTTAGTAAAATTCAGTCACAAAGCCAAGAATCTTTATTGACAATATCAAGAATATATGGACTCTTGGTATCAGATAAGCAATTAAGGACTTCAGTGAACACCAGATAAACTCAGCAGAATTTAGTTACAGACACACACACGCATATGTATAACTATAATAATTTTTTTAAAGGCCATGAATTTGAGAGAGAGTAAGAGATATTGGGAAAGGCTGGAGGAGGAGTCCATGAGGGGAGCTGGAGGTAGGAAAGTTAAGAAGGGAATTACAGAATTATATTTTAGCTAAATCATGAACTTGTCAAATCGCTTTCTTCTAATGGAATATAATTAATGTGTGCATTCCCTGTAGCCATGGATATGTGTGTGTGTGTGTGTGTGTGTGTGTAGGAGGTATCACATGCTATTTTTGGTTTCTTCATACAGGTACTAACAGTTGAGAAATACATACAGGTACTAACAGATGGAAGCCTGTATTAAACATGTTTTCTTTATTAATGAAGCAATTGCTAACATTTCTATATCACTAATAAAATACACGGCTGTGGGGCTAAGTGTGGAGATAAGTCAGTGGGTAGAGTACCTGCTGCTGTGCACACACCACAAGTTACAATCCCACACGCTTCCACACACAAGAAGTACTATCTCTGGACATTAACATTTATAAAAAGGTTGGACAATGTGCCATATCCTCCCATGACTTCCATAAAGGCACTTGCATCCATGCACATAAGTGTGTAACATACACACAAATTTATAAAAATTCTGAAATAACTATACCAAAAAATATTCATTAAAATTTCTGAGGTAAATGAATCCTGATGGATTTAAATCCTTGGAGTCCAAAATTCTACTCTTTCTGAACTTTAAACAGAATGATTAATTTACTGACACAATTATTTTCCATCCCAAGTCAGCATAATCAAGGGAGTAAGTCTTGAGGGGCTGTCATATTTACAATTTTATCATAATGTATTCACACAGTGTTTTATGTCTGCTTGATACAATCCAAATTTGGGATAATTGACCTAAACTCTTCAAGTATTTTAAATAAAGAAAATTAAAGTTTTAAAACAACTTTAAACAATGTTATTATTAAGTTATGAACAAGAAAATAAAAAGCATTTTCTATACTCATTTAAAATTTTATGCCTTCTCATGCCTATGGCATTAAACTAGAGGCAAGGCATAAGGTAAAGAAAGGCACCTCTAGTCCTCCCTGTAATATCCCCAGGCTCAGTATTCCTGAGTTTTGTTCAAGATCTGCTACCTCACACTTCACTTGGTTGTTTACTTATTTATTTTGTTGCTGTTGCTTGGAGAGTTTTGTTGTTTTTGAGAGAGGGTCTCACTATATTGTCCTGGATGGCACTGTGCTCATAGAGATCCCCCTGACTCTGCCTTCTCAGTACCAAGTGCAAAGTTGTTTGTCACCATGCCAAGCTCATGCAACTTTCTTTTCCATCATCATCAATCATAGCCCAAGCTCTCACTCATCTTTCTTAAGTTTTCTAGCTTTTCACCAGGCTTCCAATGGTATGAAATCAGGAATGACATAAAGTGTCTCCTCTCCTTCCACATGGACATTGAAAACATGTTCAAACATGGTTAGGTTTCACTTCATCAGTTGTTATCTCTTTGGAAAGCCCAACTACCTAGAAACGGAGTATTCGTGCAAACATCTAGTCTGCTACACTGCTCTTCCGAAAGCATCATATTTATGTCATGGACTCCTAAGATTATTATACATTTGCCTGTTTAGCATCTCTGCTAACCTTAATATACATACCCAAAAGCCATAAAGGCATGAGCTTTGTCAGAAAAAAATTTAGCATACAAAAAAACTGCCTAACCTATCAGGGGCATTCAACAAATAAATTTTCAAGACTCATAAAATCGAATAGACTGAGTATTATAGTAGTTAAGAAATGCTTTCTGTTAAACTGAGTGACATGACAATGGGAATGAACTGCGAGTTTGTTACTGAAATGTCTGCGGTACTGAGATATCATGTCCCTATAGCCGCATGCGCGCGCGCACACACACACACACACACACACACACACACACACACACAGAGAGCCTGTTATCCAAGATATCATATATAAGAAAGTAAATGATAGGTTAATGATAACAATATCCCACATTAGGATTGTTGTAAAGAAATTTAAAAACTGGTAGGAAAAAGGTGAATTACAAGGTGGCTATTGCTCTTATTCGACTATTTTAAACAGAAAACCCTGAAGTCCAAAATTTAGATACCACATATTTCATGGAATAAATTTACAGCATAATGTATCATATGCATTTACTTTATTATATAAAGAGTCAAATAAAACTAAGCATTATTCTAAATTCTAGGGAGATGGAGCAAGAGCTATATAATTATATATAATTCCTGCTGTAATAAGCATATAGATGGTAAGATTTTAATAATTTGTAAAATGGAGTTTGTTTTAACTATTTTTGTTTTGTGAAACACTTTGTTTTTTGTAACTTAGGTTGGACTTGAACTAGCTATGAAATCAAGGGTGACTTTGAACTAATCCTCAAACTTCCATCTCCCAATATAACAATAAGAATACAAGGACGGGCATGGTAATATGTGTCCAAATCCCAGCTCCTTTAAATGCTGAGATGAAAGGACTGTTAGTCCAGGGAACCTAACAAGACTCAGCCTCTACTATCCACCAATACACCCACACCATTAAAAAAAAAAAAAAAAAAAAAAAAAAAAAAAAGTAGGCAAAGTGAGGAGGTACACACCTTGAAATCCTAACACTATTGCTGAGGAGGTACACACCTTGTAATCCTAACACTATGGCACTTGGGAAGCAAGTTCAGTTGTAGTGGAAAGATTCTGAGTTTGAAGCCAACCCAGGATAAATAATGAGAATCATAATAAAAGACTCAGGAAGACTTAAACTAACACATCTTTCTAAGGCCCTCATTTAAAAATTGGGCAAAGTAACCAATGCCCCAAAATACAGTGAGTTGGAAAAAAAAAAAGATTTAAAATTTTACTTCATCGTTATCATTTTAAGACAGATCTTACTTTGTATCCCTAGCTAGTCTGAAACTTGCTATGTAGATCAGCCTGGCTTCAAACTCAGAGATCTTCCTGCCTTTGCCTCCTGGGTATTGGGATTTAAAGACATGTGCCAGTACCAAGGCTTTTTATTCTTTTCCACTAATATTACCAATTTATGTTTCTAAATTTTGATATAAGATATATTAATTTACAAGACATCAAAAAATTCACCAAACTTTTTATCCATCTCAAAATTTAAAATATTGTAACATCTACCCTCTAACTTAATCCAAAAGATCATTGGCTATCTGTGTTTCATTTCTCAATGATTTCATCATCTGCATTAAAAAGGCTCCTGAGAACTAGAATACCATGAACACATAATACAAAATCCCAAACAATTACGAATGTGAAGCTTTGTACCTGTGTGATGGAGAAGGAGCTTCAAATTGAGGCACTGTGCTATCTTCACTGACAGGAGAGTACAAGCCACTCATTTCCTGAAATTGTAATTATTTGAGTTATCATATACACTCCAAACAGAAAATGTATATTTCAAAAAAGCATATGGCATTATATTCTGTTCTAGCCCCAGGTTCCCATCAGTCCCTTTCTGTCTTCAAAACCAAACTTGTCAAAGATTCCTTTCCATAAAGTACAAAAGCAAAGTTAATCTGAAATTTAGGAGGAAGCTATTACTAGTGTTAAAGGACTATGAATCCCATTAAATACTATTCTAACTAATGAAAGCACTGAATGCAGAAAAACTCAAAAGGAAGTATACCAGAGAGGACATACAGCGCATTCTGTACACAGTGAACTGACTACTCATGCAGGTGATGATCTATTAATGTATATTAGCATAAATATGTTGGGACAGTGACTAGATTACAACATTCAAATCTTCAAAGTAAATGACAAAAACTCTCTAAAAGTAATCTACAAATAATAAGAGTAATACTTCTTGAATTAATTATTGACTTTAATAAGAACATAAATTATGATTATTGCTCATTAACCCAAAGGCAAGGGGCTGATCAGAGATGATCACATAAATTACATCGCTGAATATTATTGATTAGCTTCCCTTTTTACTTATGTAAAAATTTTGTTTTGTGGAAAAACAGCAAATTTAAAAATAAAAACTATAGGCACATAAAAAGGTAAAATTATTTTTGGCTTAGCTCAAAAATAGTCAAACAGGTAATATAAACATAAGGGATACTGAGTTCCCATTGAATACTATAATACTCATTATCCTTTGACGTATTTTATAAGTCAGCAAAAGGAAGTCATGTGTGTAAATAAGTAAAGTGCACACTAATTTAAATGTAGCCAAATGTAGACCTCAACTCACAATAGTCTATGAATAGCCCAACAAATTTCTAGAAGTAAAAGCTGCATTTTATTATAAACTCCAACAACATTAACAATGTATTTAAATCACTAAATTATCATTAGTATCCAATAAAAAACAACTAGTAAAAATGTAACATTATTTTTAAAATTAATAAAAGAATGAAACCATAAGTCATTTTTAGAAAATAATGAAGGATTAGTAGGAAATTATTTAGATTGCAAATAGAAAACTGAACAAATTTTGTTCCATTTAATCAAGAATCATAGCAATAAATGTCAATATAACTTAAGATTACAATTTATCTTCAAAAAAGTATTCAGACTTTGTCCCCGTGCACCACCAGCTGAACTGTCAACTAAGATGAAGGTAAAACTATGAAAAATGTGAGAATTTCTCGATTTCTTACTTCCACTCTTTTAATATCCTCTTCCAAAACACTTAGTTCCTTCTGGATCTGTTCCAATTGCTGTAGATTAAAGAAATGGAGAAAAAAATTCTAATCTAAACCACAATTTCAGCATCATGAGAAAAAAATTAGATTTGGATAAAAGAAAAAAGGATACTAAACTGACAACTAAGAGCAAAAATAAGGGGACTGAAAGAAAAGAAAATCAGAAGTAAATTTGAATGTTACCAATTCAAATAAAGATACTTGTCTATATGGAAACACAATATTATGTTTATTTACAATAACAATGACTGATTTTTATAATAAAAATATAAAAATGAACAATAACAATAAAATTACTTAAAAATACAAGATATCCAAAATCTTTCACATTTCCTCATTTAGTTGACTGCTTTTTTAAGGCACATTTTGTAACCCACTTTATTAGTATGATAGTGGTTCAGCCAACCTCAAAGCAACTATAAACTAAGCATTTAAATAAAAACATTTAAATATTTGGCTTTTTATATTGTTCCCATTAGATCATAACCATTTGCGTGCATATTGAAAGATTTCCTTAATAGAGAGATTTAGGATGTTTGCAACTATCATAAATCTAGAACATACAAGTATCTCAAATGTCACTTTTATCATATTAAAAGTTTATTTTAGATTTTATTGAGAGATGATTAATCAACAGAAATAGCTAAAAATCTTCATTATACACTAAGCTTGTAGCACAGGTAATAAAAACCTAAGATCAGAAAAGCAAACAGCCAACCACTAGAAAGACCTTTTACCCCTACCAAATCTTTAGACAGAAAGGGCAAAATTCTGTCTCCATGAATCCCCACACTGCACACTGCACTCAGTTCCTGTCTCCTGTCTCCACCTCCCCACAGTTGGGATTAAAGGCTTGTGATCCCAAGTGTTGGGCTCACCTTTGTGTGAGCTCTATTTCTCTTTTAGACAGATTCGATCTTGTGTAGCCCATGGTGGCCTTGAACTAACAGAGACCCTCCTGCACCATGCCACGCCCCAGTCCTGGAATTAAAGGCTTGTGCCACCACTCCCTGGCCTGTACGGCTGACTAGTATGGCTGCTTTGCTCTCTGATCTTCAGACAAGCTCTATTTAGTAAAACACAAATAATAAACCACCATATAAGCTGCTTTCCAGAAATTCTAAATACCCCAAGTAAGCATAACTAGGTGTTTTACTTTAACACAAATATATTGGACCATTTAAAACTATGAAAACTGTAACAGATAATTGCATAATACTGATTGCTAGATTTGAAGCAGGTACTACATATATTAGGAAAATGAGGCATAGAAAGGCTAGGTAATTTGATGAAGAGCATTCAGCGGTGAGCAAAGAACTGAAATTAGAATCAAAGCAGCCTTCTTATTGTAGTAAGCAAGCTGTCAACCATAGCAACACTGTCTCAAGACAACAGCACCTTATAGCTTACGCCTTAATGCCAGTACGAGAACATTTTTAAAGGTCTCTTAGTATGAGTAGTGTCTACTGCAGCAAAATAAGCACAGTGAGTGTTGTTTAATTGCTGAATTTATTGATATAAATGTTTGTCACAGCATTCTGCTGAGCATGGAAAACAGTACAATGGAAGTAATCTTCAAAACAGAATCTAAGTAAAATTAGATCTTAAAATCAAAGATGGAGCCCTAAAAGACTTACAGAATTTTACAAGAGGTAAAGTCAAAATAAAAAGAGTAAATAATAAGAAATGCTAAAGCTATGAAGAAAGGAAATAATAAAAGGAGCCCATAGCAATGAATATATTTGCCTACCATCAATTTAATCAAAAAGGATGAATCAAGTACTAGACAGTAGAGAAAGCTAACATTAAAGAAGCAGGCAAAGTAATATACATATTAAGTGGAAAGAGAAGAAGGCCAAATTTAGCCACCAACCCAAGGGAGAAGATATATTCAGAGAAATCAATGGTTACAAAACAGTGATTAGTATTATCAAATGTTTTCAATTAAACATTGCATCTACTTTAAGAAAACTTTGCTCATTCATAAAAAGCATAACACAAGCATTTCTACCTTAACTAAAACAACTTGGTAGTCTTTCAAATAAAGGCTGGTCAAGTGGTCAGTTTTCAAAGCCTCAAACTCACAGTGTATACACAAACCCACAACTTCCTCTACATTCGTTCCATTGCTATTTCCAACAATCTGTGCTCCATTCTGATATAAAAAGTACTCTAGCACAGCTCACATGAAAGCCATGCAGTTAAATGGCTCTCAACCTATTTTACATTCTATAAACAACCCAGTTATTCCTCACCAACTGCTGAAGTCTTTTGTTTCACAGATGCTTAAAATTCCAATGGCTTTTGCCAACATAGTACTCTTAGGGTCACCTCTTAAATATTTTAATTCAGTTATTTTTAAAGGTAGCACTCCTAAATATCTTTATGAAGAAAGTATTTTAGCCGGGCACTCGGGAGGCAGAGGCAGGCGGATCTCTGTGAGTTCAAGACCAGCCTGGTCTACAGAGCTAGTTCCAGGACAGGCTCCAAAGCCACAGAGAAACCCTGTCTCGAAAAACCAAAAAAAAAAAAAAGAAAAGAAAAGAAAAAAGTATTTTATTCTCAGGATTATTAAAAAGAATGCTAGAAACAGTTGATATAAAAAAAACCTATATCAACATAGATAATCCAGATCACATTTGATCATTAATATAGCCAGAAAAGAATTAGTAATTTTTCTAATATATGAAAACTTGAAATATGAGAGAAAATTCTGATGTCACCTGAAATGACACAACAGTCAATTTTTATTTCTGTCTCATCTTTCTAGAGTACTCACATACCTATTTTAATACATAGGAGCTGCAGTATTTTTAAGATGAATAATAAAAAAAATGGCTAATATCAAATAATCTATACTTTTAAAACCACGATTTCAGGGCTAGAGAGATAGTTCAGAGCTAAAGTACTTGCAGTTCTTCCGAGTACCTGTGTTTGATTCCTAACACCTACATAGCTCAGACCCATGTGTTAGCTTCAGTTCCAGCGATCCCCTGCCCGCTTCTGGCCTCCACAGGCACCAGCACGTGTGTGATGTACAAACATACAAGCAGTCAAAACATCAATGCACATAAAATGAAATAAAATTATTTTAAAATAAATCACTGTGCATGGTGGTACGTGCCTTTAATCCCAGCAGTTGGAGGCAGCCACAGGGAGATCTCTGTGAGTTCAAGACCAACCTGGTCTACATAGGGAGCTCCAGGACAGCCAGGGCTGTTACACAGAGAAACGCTGTGTAACCTTGTCCAAAAACAAAAAACAAACAAACAAAAATCAGGACTTTCATATGGATCTTAAATGAAACAAATAACCAAGGTAAAAGTGTTATCCTGATAAATATAAAAATGGTGTTAAAAGTTATTTTGGATGTCAGGCAAGAAATTAAAATGGAAAATTAAAAGAAGTCTGAAGAAAAGAAACTGGTTAGAAATTACATATTAGATTCAAGGCATTTCCATCTCAAGATATCGATAAAGGATATTTTAGTACTAATACACGGAAGACAAAGAATAAACATCTGAGAGAACAGTGCTAAATTTAACCTCTAGGCATCATAAACCCAAAATGCAGACTGCCAGAATAAGACAGACAGGGGTCCAAGTTTGTTTTGGAAATAAGTAGTCCATGAAGGTGACTGCTATCATATAAATGAAATTCTGTCACAACTTGAGAGTGATAAATTCAATCAAATTTGACTTAATAAAAATGCAGAATTTAGAGCTACTAAAATAAATACAGTAAATGACAGCACTGATTCAGAACATGTTCCTAAGACATCAGTAGCCAGCACTTTCTAAATAGTGTTAAAAAAAAATAAAAGAAGAAATACTTAAACATTTAAAAAGAAAAGTGTCTCAAAAGTGCTCTAAAAACAGAGTTTGAAATTGAGGACTACTCTATTACTGATAATGGTTTTAAAACAGGTAGTAATCTTTTGTACTCACTTCTTTGAGCTTTTACTAATTGTTTGATAAAGTGGATATATGTGAATATTGAGCTCACTTGTGAATTCAATTGTGTAACAATATTATTTAGAATAAATTATACATACATAATCTAAAATAAACAAAGGAATGTGCTATTAGAGAAAAGGCTGGTAATCAAAAGAAAATAGCAAAGCTCAGTGTATACTAATTCTAAACAAGAAACTACTAAGAGCAAAGTATAAAGTCAAAACCCTTATTGTTCTATATAATAATAACGATACATACTTAATTTACTATTTAATGGCAGGCTTAATAATATTAATACTTCATTTAGCTCTCCCGCAGCATTTTATTTTTAGCCAAGAAACAAATGAAACAAAAAGTAAATGAACAAACTAGGGAAAACAAGAAGGTATAGTTTAAAAAATGTAAATGGTGGGCTCACATATCAATCCACACACTGGTTTGCACATGCATACTCAAAAAGACACAAATTATTATAAATTAGTGCAAAAACTGGGGGGATCTACAAAACAGAGATGTACTAAAAACAAACAAGCAAGCAAACAAACACTCAAATGGCTGAATACATGCCTATAATCCCAGCACGTGGCAGACAGAAACAGTATTTATTTCAGGCTGGGCTATATACAGCTTAAAGTACACCCCTCTTCCAAAAAAAAAAAAAAAAAAAAAAAAGTACAGACAAATCAGAAGAGAAATTTTGAAAAACTACTCAAGAAATCAAATGGAGAAAAATATTCTAACAGAACAATGAGATAGTTCAGTGGGAAAAAACACTCGCCTGGGGAGCTGAGCCCAAAGTGGAAAGAGAGAACACACTCCTAGAAAGTTGACCTCTGACCCTCATACCCATGAAAGTACTCATGTGATACCCTCGTACACACACAACTGTAATAAAAAGTAATGTTTTTTTTAAGTATAATAAAAATTTTTAAAAAAGAATAAGCACAAAGCAATAAAGCAACAAATCTAATCGGTGTTGTTTACAATAGATCTACACTAGGTCTAAACACAAAAAGAGAAACTGTAGATTAGTTGGCAAATGCATGCCTCTAAAACACAAGGACCTTTCTTTTTAATTTCTAGAATTTATGACCCATGATTATAATCCCAGAACTGGGGAAGCTGAGGCAGCCTGGCCAGCCAGCTTAGTCTAGCTGGCGGGTTCTAAGTCAGTGTGGTTGTCGTCTGACTTCCAGACACATGTACAAATATGCATCTGCATGCACACAAAAGCATATTGCAACTATATACAGTCAGAGGTAAAATCACCTCAAATATAACAGTTCTAAAATCACTATGACAATATCACAAAGATTCAGTAAAGAAGCAAAACAATGTCAACACACATTTAACAAGCTTATACTGCACAACACTTGAGAAGTGCAAAACTTACTAACTACCAGATGGTAAATAGTATATGCAAAGAAGGCAAATCCTTTTCAAGGAATGTACCTAACAAAAGAAGTAAAAAACGTCTATAAGAAAAGCTATGAAACACTAAAGAAAAAAACTGAAGGAGACACTAGAAGGTAGAAGAATCTCTCGCATTCAGGGATCAGCAAAATTAATATTGTAAACCTGACAATAACACTGAACAAAATTTACAGATTCAATGTAATCTCCAACAAAATGTCAATGATATTTTTACAAAAATAGAAAAATAAAAATCTAAAATTCAGGGGAAAAAAACCCACAAAGACCTCAAATAGCTAATACAATCCTGACCTAAGAGAACAAACTAAAAATACCATTACATATAATTTTAAATTATACAGTAATGCAAAAATGAAGAAAATAAAATGGCTACCACACAAAAACAGGCAAGACTAAAATAGAGGATCCAAAAATGACCCATGTAACTACACCTACAGAATTCTCAACAATGGGTTCAAAACAGATCTTGAGAAAAACAGTCTCTCTGGCAAATGGTGGCATGAAAACTGGATACCCACATGTAAAAGCATAAAAATAGATCCCCACCACTTACCCAGAATTTCAAAACACAACAAATAAACAACAACCACATAAAGAAAACCATTAAAATACCTTACTATAAGACCTCAAATTGCCAGGCAGGAGTGGCATACACCTTTAATCTCAGCATTCGGAAAGCAGAGACAGGTGGATCTCTGTGAATTCGAGACCAGATTGGTCTACAGAGCTAGTTCCAGGACAGGCTTCAAACCAAAAGACCTGAAACTTTGAAAACACTGGGATAAAACATAAAGAAAGCACAAAGATTCAGGACAGACAAGGACTTTCAGAATAGTATTTCAATATCAAGAATCAACAAGTGGAACTGAACCAAATCTTAAAACTTCTGCATAAATTTAAGGTGTGCCTAAGACTACAGAGGGACTTCAAAGGCAACATGGCAGAATTAATGAAAGCTTATTTCAAAGAAAAAGAAAAGAAAAAAAAAAAAAAGAAAGAAAGAAAAGAATAAAGTAACAAAGGAAGCCTGGGGATTTAGCTTAGTGGGAGAACTCCTTACTGCCTAGCATGCATAAAACCTTGAGTTTAATCTTCAGTACCAAAAAGAATCCCTGGAGACTAATAAGGGAGCTTTCCCAAGCATAAGGGTAATGGAACATGAACAAATCAAAGAGTGCTAAATAGTATAGAGTACAAACCTGAGATCCCAGTATTCTAAAGGCTCAGGCAAAAAGACTGAGAATTCAAGGCCAACCTGAGCTACAAGACCCTCTCTCAGAAAAGAAAGAATTAAAATTGAAACAATAAAAGAGTGTTTCTGTTATGGTAAAATTAAATCAGCAAGTGACAAAAAAAAAAAAAAGAAATCTTCATATTCAAGTAATGTTTATCCACTGTCAAAAACAGTACCCCACATAAAGTACGTCCAAAAACATTTGATGTAGCTAAAATGAAAAAGGAAAAGTACAACACAGGCCCTTGTATAATAAAGCCCACATAACAAGCACAAACAGTAAGACATGAGAAACAAACAGGAACGTAGCAAGGGAGTGATAGAAGCTAAAATAAAACAGAACACAGGATAGTCAAAAATTAATTTTTAGAGTAAAACTGATATGTCCTTGGGAAGAACCAATCAATGATTGATAAAAGAACAATAATGCTATAAGCAATATCACAAATAAAAGAGGTCATTAAGTTTTGAGAGAACAATAAAAAATTAAGAACAAACACATCAAAAGTTCATGGTAGAGAACTTCTCGGGAAAGTGTAACATAAAAAGTAACCAACAAATATCTGGATCCACATATAACTATTTAACTGAATTAATAATCTGAAATCCAGTGAAAACAAATCAGATCTAGATGGCGTTTCTAGCTAGATTCTAAACACTGAAAAACAGACATGCATCATCAACTGCATGAATTCTGCTCACCCCAAACAAAAGAACACCAGGAGAGTATATACCTCCCAAATCATCTGTTAAAGTTAACAATCTTTACAGCAAAACTGCACAAGATCTGCCGGACAAAAACACTTCACTATCTCACCCATGAACATCAACACACAAAAAAATTTGAAATAAAACACTAATGATCCAAATCACACAAAAGAGTACACAAAAAGCTCACAGTTTGCTTTACACAAAAAGTTGAATTCAAGTAATGGAATAAATTATCCTGATGGGCCTCCTAGAAAACAAAACATTCTATAAAAGACAACCCTGCAACAATCTTGGTGGCTGGTCACTACAGATACATAACTGACTGACTTTCTAATGTTAAACCTATTATTTATCCAGATTAAGAAAATGAAAAAGAAAAATTCTATGATTATCTCAGATGTACAAAACTCCTGAAGTATACTCAATCCCATTCATAATTGAAGAAAAAAATCCTCTTACTAAAAATAGAAATATATTTCCTTGAATGATTAAAAACAAAACAAAACCCTATGGGGGATTAAAAACCTACAGAAATCTCCATACCTAATGGTGACACGTCGAATGATTTCACTTTGAGAGCAGTATCAAGACTAGGATGCTCAGCTATCACCACTTCTATTCATCACTGTACCGGATGTCCTAGCCAGCAGAGCAAGACAAGAAAAATAAATAAAAGATATAAGGATCATAGAGAAAGACATTGAATTGTTATTGCAGATTATGGTGTGTACATAGAAAACATAAAAAAATCTACAAATAAGAATTAATGAAAGTCTAACAAGGCTGCTGGGGACTAAAGTTATGTACGTCAGTTGAATTTCTATGTATCAGCAATATTAAGAAAATAAAATCAAAAACAGATAAGCACTGAAATCATAAAATCTAAACAAGATATGAAAGACTGGTAGTCTTTGAAAGTATCAAAAATTTTAAAGATGGTTTAAAATCTAAAGTATGTAGAAATATCAAGTTCAACAGCACAATGCTATGAAGATATATTCTCAATTTTCTATAAAGTCAATGTAATCCCCATAAAAATCTCAGCAGGCTTAACATGGAAATGCATTAGCGGATTCAATTATGTGTAAGAAAATGCAAAGAGCCATAAATATACAAGAGTTTCTTGAAGAAAATCAGTCACTTAAGGTTCTAGCACATAATATGGTACTTCCCAAAGGATAGACAAGTCAAGCATGAGGGCAGAAAGAGAGTCCAGAGGCAAATATACATATACATAGACATAGACACATAAGAAATGAAAGTGAAAAACTTAAGAATAATGGGAGAAAGAATGGACTTTTAATAAAGAATATCTGGGCACCATGTAAAAAGATCTCTAAATACCACATAATACAACAAAACAAAACAAAACAAAAACCTCCAAGTAAAGCAAAATTCAAAATGTGAAAGATAACAAAACAGTTTCAAATGAAAGACAATACAGGAAAATATCTGTACAACCACAGGTAAAGATTCTTTACCTAGCACCAAAAAAAACAAACAAAACAACAACAACAAAAAAAAACAAAAACAAAAAACTAAGAAAGATAACTTCTATCCATCAAATAGCCATCAAACAGCTCAACAGAAAAAAAAGTATCCCAAATAGAAGAAAACTTGATCCTTGTGTTAGATCAATATAACAAAGAATTTATATCAAAACAAGTTACAAGCAGTAAGCCACAAAAAAATTAAGTAAATGGAAAAGCTACAACTAAACTTGTGTAAGTAGTGCTTCATTCAGATGCACATAAAAAATAATCCACAGAACCAGCAAACATAACACCATGTGCTCAACCTGTTAATCATCAAGAAAAAGGCAAATTCAAACTCCAAAGAGATAGCAATGCATACCTGCAGGAAAAGTTTTTAGTTTATAAACTAGAAAAAGTCACTGATAACTTCTGATAAGAATAAAACACAATACAAAAACCCATACAGGTCTGTAGAAGGAATCTGCAATCCAAGGAGTACTGTTTAGAGAACACTTTAGCATTCTCTCTTTGATGTAAGATATACATACCCTACGACTTACTGATTTACATGTATCTTATACAAGTAAATATTCTAATATACACATATGCACAATATCAGCATTGTTTATGAACAGTCCCAACTAAAATCAACCCAATGTCTACCAACAATTATTTTTATGAAAATAATATATACTTATTCAGTGAACACTATGAAATACAATCAGAAAATATCATGGTAAGTTTTTTGTCAAGCAGACGAGCTAGGATCATTTGGGAAGTGGGATTCTTAATTGTGAAAATTTCCCTATTAGATTAGCCTCTGAGGCATTTTCTTGATTAATGATTGGTATGGCAGGGCCCAGGTGACAGTGATTGGTGGTCCTGAATCCTATAAAACCAGCAGGCTGAGAAAACCATGGAAAACAAGTCAGCAAGAACACTCCTCCATATCCTCTGCTTCAGTTCCTGCCATGAGCTCCCGCCCTGACTTCCCTCAGTGATGGAAGATGACTTGAGACTTGATAGCTGAAATAAACCCTTTCCTACACTGGCTGCTTTTGATCACAGAGGGGTTTTTGTTTTGTTTTTTATTTGTTTGTTTGTTTTATCACAGCAGTAGAAACAACTAATTCAGACATCCAACTAGCCATGTATATCCATATAGGTGAACCTTAACACTGAGGCACATAAGGGCGGGGCAGATTACATACTGCACAAATACATTTACATAAAGCTCAAACACAGAGACCTATAAATGCTTAAGCAGCAAAACATTCAAGAAAGACAAGAGAAGTTACTACCATAAACATCAGGATGTTAGCAAACAGGAAAGGGAGAAAGGAATCTGAGAGGGTAGTCAGGAAACCTCTGGAATCCGAGCAATGCTTCAATGCTTTATTGTATAATCAAGAGAGTTGTGTGCATATTATTCTATTCTAAAGCATACACTCAATTGATACAGCTTTCCATGTTTCATTTCATATAAAATGGTAAAAATTCAATTCATTCCAACTGAAGTCAACTATTTAATAAAGAAGGTCCAAAAATTGCCAGAAAGTCTATTTCAAAAATAAAGAAGTGAAAAATTAAACAATGATTCTAATACTGGTACAGATTTAAATGGATACAAGTGCTTTTTACCTGGAATCCAAAATTTTTCTACCATTCTATGAAAAAAAGACATTCATCTAGATACAGTTATTAAATGCTATGCTAGGAAAGCTCTCATGTGACTGCTAAAGATCCTCTCCTCTTAATATTTATATCTATGTGGGGAACTCCCTCTTAAGTTTAGAATAGAACATTATTTTTTATTTTAAACAAAGAAAAACTGGCGAAACTGTTAACGTAAAAATGAAGTGTCAGACCTGTAAGATGGCTTACGGGATAAAGGCACAGACATCGAGTCAATGATCTCAGTAGGATCTCAGGGACATACAGGGTAGCACAAAACATGTTCCCTCATGATGCCTTATATTCTGTGTATGCCACCCCTTCCTAACCGAACTGCACAAAGTAAATAAAATAGAATAATTATTTAGACTTTAATAAATTAGCTCCTCGGTCACTTGTAATAATTAAAACTAAAATAACCAAAATTAAATCAATCATGGATACACTAAAAAAAAAAATGCAGTAGTGCCTGTATGTGTATGTATGCTTACTATAGGCTCCAATATCCAGAAACACTTGGAATTAGTATTTTTTTTTACCTAAACTACCTATAAAATACAGTATAAGTGGAAATCAATCTCAAAAATATTAGACTCAAGCTAAAGGACCCAGCACAATTTCCCAAGAAGTTTAATGACAAAAACAGAAAACCAGTAACAAAGCCATGGATTCAATGAAGTAATAGAGATAATACTAGAAATTACCAGGTACCTGAGAAAAGACCTATTAGACTCATTAACAAAATTACTGCTGGCACACAATTATCCTTCCCACCCATCATTCCAATTTTTGCACTTTATGACAGGTTCTGTT